TCGGATCATGATAGTGGGAGGGGATGGGGGGTGGAGGAAGCATTTAGAAACTAGAGGAAAGTTGTATTTTTCATCGTTGCTACATCGCACCCTGACTGACTTGTCTCCTCCCCGAGACCCCTCTGCAAGGAAATCTCCCGTGGCTTATACATGGGCTTTGGGTCTCCACTCCACACTCCCCACCTCATTCACTACGGTAAGATTTTTGGTTCTGATGATGCCTGATCCCTGATATCTTCTACACCTTGTGATCGCACAGGCTGGTGTGCTTCTTCCATGTGGGCTTTGTTGCTTCTGAGCTAGATGGCCGCTTGAAGGTCTTCATTTTCTTTGCCACATAATGTATTCCCTAAATATGCATCAGATTAACATTTAGTTTTCCGTGGGCCTGAAGGGTTTAGACAAGGAATAATAATGTTACTCTGATTGCATTACCCAGACCGTTTATATGGACTTAGTTGGCATAATATGCCTATTCACTTGGGTCTGCTATTTTAGAAGATGAGATCACTGACAATTTTTTTTTTAACCCACACAAAGGAGTGTGCCGGAAAAAACCAACAACAATCCATGGTAGATCCACCATGGTTTCTACTCCAAATGGAAACTGGCTGTTTTGCTGCTTATCTTGTAAGCTGCACTTTTGCTAAAAGCAGAAAGCAAAATCTCACATTATCTCTGATTGCTGCATTGCAGGGGTCCTTACGATTGTTGGTATTTGTCTGCAAAGCACAGCTAAACTGCATCACTTAAAAATCCGCATCTCTGTGTCATTATAACTATTGGGTCTTTTTTTCCCTCCCACCCACAGAGCCACATTTTAAAGGTCTGAAAGGGGGCTTTGGTGTTCCCTTGTAATGTGGGTGTAGGAGGTAGGGAAATCTATTGGAAATAGGGTATGTGGTTTCCCAATATTTCGCCACAGAGAAGGAAGGAACCCTTGCTGTGAATAGATGAGGTCTGGTTGATAATGATTATTTGTTCAAAAATCCCCAATTACTTTAAACCTTCCTCCTGGTGGAGGATCTCCCGGACAAGCTGTAAGTAAATTGTGGCTCACTTTCTGCCTGCAGAGGGCACAACAGAGTAGGCATCAAGAATAGAAAGCATTTTATTATATTTTTTGAACACTCCATCTAATTCTAGAAAGAATTTAAGAAGGCAGGACATACATACAATGCAATAAGAAAATATGGGCGAAAATAAAGCTTTGGTGTCTAGAAAACAGAATTCAGTCAGTATGAGGGGTGAGAGGAGGGGATTCACACTCAATCCTTAGATTGAGACGTGGTTCTTGACTGGAGTGCTCAGAGGACACAATGTGCATCAAAGCTTTCATGGATGTTTAACTTTGATTTTTGTTGTAAAACAACTATACCTACCATGTGCAATGTTGCAGTAAAGCAGGCTGTATAAATTGCTTTGAGTTAGAAGTAAAAGCCAAAAACATCACATGAAAATAGCCCCAGAGAAAAACAAGAGCTTTGCCTAGGAGTAGAAATTTTCTTAAGATTTCATTCTATAATAAATCTCTTACATGAGAGTATGTTAACTAATGGAAGTGCAGCTGGGAGAGCAGCTGTTTTAAGGAAAGTGGGGTCAAATCTAGCCCTCACTTCCAAGTGCAGTGATTTTTTCCATCAATGCATAGGAAGGTGTTAGGAGCCGTAGTGGCCCATGGGTTAAGTTCTTTGATTTTAGCTGAGAAACCATCAATTTGTATCCATCAGCTACCCCACAGAAGAAAGATATGGTAGTCTCCTTCCATACAGACTGATAGCTTGGAAACCCCGTGGGGCTGTTCAGTTCTGTCTTACAGGGTCACTCGGGGTCAGAATTGACTCAGTGGCAATGGCTGAGTTGGTTCGGATGAGGAAGATGATCAAGTTCTGAGATACTGGTTCACTAACTAAAATGTACCTGATGTTGGGGCAGAACCAGAATACTAATGGATTCAATTATAGTAAGAAATATTTCTGTGTCATGAGATGGCTAAACTACATAGGATACTAGATAATATTCAGAAGTTTCTTTATTAATTTACTATGGGACATGTACAACCCTTCTTTATATGATTGCACTTTTGAATTGTATGATATGTTAAAGATATCTCAATAAAACTAATAAAAATGTACTATGGGACATGCTCAAAAAATATTGGACAGGATGGCTGAACATATTGGACACAGTGACGGAAACAGCAGGCTCAACCATAACAAGGATTGTGAAGAGGCTCAGCATCAGGCATTGTCTTGTTCTGTTGCACACAGAATCAGAGCCTGTGGGATTATAGAGACTTTCCCCCAGCTTTGTCTCCCCCAAAGATATGAGAAACATTAGAGGCTATTTGCCAGCATATGGTGGGAGGTCGGATGCTTAGAGATATCCTTCCTGAAGGCAGTCAGTTGCCAGACTACTGACTGGGCCACCACAGGTAGAGCCCGCTCCCTGCTGTTAAGGACAATGGGCTACTTCTCCCTAAAGGCTTGCAGCCATCAGTTTGGTCCCTGCTGGGTGGGTTTACACCCAAGCCAGCTCAGTGACATCCAAGGTTAGGCTGCCATCCTAAATCTAGGGTCCACCCTTCTTCTCACATGTATACTCCCAATCCCTCCTCTTCCTATTGTGTGTATATTCCTAGATTGTCCCCCTCTCATTGCTGTATAATCTATAGTGCAGCCCCTTCCTGTGAGGTATGTCTTTACCTGTAATTAGGGGGCTTGCATCCCTGCCCCCAAAGGTATATAATATAAGCCTGGGTTAGCAATTAAGAGATCTCTAGGCTCCCCTCTTGGCCTCTTTCCAGTCCCCCCATCCCCCTCTCCTCTCCAGTCCTTGTTCCCCTATTCCCTTTTCCCCTTTCCTCATTCCCCTCCCCTTATCTCCACATGGACCACCAAGCTGGTCTGAGGTGAGCATGCTACCATGAAATGTGCCTGACGCTATTATTTCAATCTCTCTTATCTCTTATGCTCTCTATGACTTTATTATGATT